GGTAAACTTGAAAAGTGAAAACATGGTAAAAACAGAGGACTGAAAGGGTAAAGAAAGGACGGGGTAAACTTGAAAAGTGGAAACATGGTAAAAACAGAGAGGACAGAAAGGGTAAAGACAGGACGGGGTAAACTTGAAAAGTGGAAACATGGTAAAAACAGAGAGGACTGAAAGGGTAAAGACAGGACGGGGTATGTAATAGGGACAGAGCTGAAGAACCAGAGGATGGCAGAGCTGGAGATATGCATTCAGCACGCATAAGGTGGACTTGCTGGAACAGGAGAGACTTTTGGTTTAGACATACTATACAGTGGGTGATGGCATAGTAGGAGGGACTGGGGGAAGGGGAGGGAACGGTAGAAAATGGCAGACTGTGTGACTGAAAAACGAAATGAATAAGGGGGGTAGAGTTGGGATGAAGACGATTTAGGTAGGATAAGAGAGAGGGAAAGATTGGTATGTGGCCTGTGGGACTACTGGGAACACCTCCCCTCGGTGCCAATGTCCCCCCCCCCCTGGGGATTGATCTACTGCGTGGCTGGGTGCTGCTACCGTCTTCACCCAAATAGAGTGCCCGGTCATTATAGCTGTATTTGGACCAACTTTCAGCCCAGATACCGCGATAATTACCGGGCGTTCTATTCGGGTGAAGACGGTAGTAAGCTTGCCGACCAGTAGAACAGCCCCCGAGAACGGATCAAGGTTGGGGGATGGGAGTTCTGGAGTAGCCGCCCCTTGCTTAGGCGTCTAGTACCGCAACGGCTGGTCTGGTCCTTCTTCTCATCTTTTCTCACCTTTTCCTATTGTACACCATGCTTGCCGGTGACAAGTAACCAGACTGCTGCCCCCCAGAATAGAAGGGGCTTTGTATTGCAAAAAAAAAAAAAAAAAAAAAAAAGAGAACTTTTTGGCTAGGCTACCAGCCGGGCCGTTTTGGTCCTGGGTGGCCAGCCCGTGCAAGGACCAGGGAAGGTCCTAGCCAAAAAAAAAAAAAAAAAAAAAAAAAAAAAGAGATCAAGTGTAGTATCTGTTCTGATCAGTTTAATATCTGATCTGTGGTCCATCGGGCCACACTAAAAAACTGAGTGGGGATCCGGGCCGCCCAGGTGACAGGCAGGGGCCTGGGGGAGGTCCCGGGCGGCCTGGCCGGGCA